TGCTGAAACATAGACTAAATCTGAGAGGTTTCAAAGGAGGACAAATAGAGAAAGTATGAGGAAAAAGAGGCACCAGCAAAGATGAAAGCAACAAAGAAACCGAAGACTTTAGTATGAGGAAGAAGGTATAGCAACATTAACTTTTAATCTCAATCCACTCATAGCTCTAATCCATGAAATACTTAATGACAAACTTCAAACGATTTACGGTGTCTGTTAATGTAATTGCATATGCCAAATGATGAGGATAGTGATCAAGAACATACAGATTCTTATCAAAGGATGAGGATAGTGTATCAACTGAACTTTCGTATTTTTGTCTTTTGACGGTACACTAATCCCAAATTTAAAATGGTAAAATCGATCAATGAATAGCCTTTTCATGGTAGGTAGTAATCAAATGATTTTATATATACATTGGCAAAATTAAACGTTTCACAATCTCTTTTATTCACTCGCTCATGCCCTTGGAAATCTGAGTGATCTTACAAGTAGTGATGATCTAAGTTGATGATCCTTTTGGAGCATGTAGCCGCTATGAAAAAGATCCAAGAGAAATGGATCAAAGTTGGAGCATCTATTGTGTGATCCTCTCAGGAGCATTTCTTGTTGAATTTGAAAAACAGAAGGCATGTATGCAAGTAAGCACAATCTTGTTTGAGGTCTATTCTATCTGAAGTGGATACATTGATCGGGATCATATTGCCCTTTGGGATTTGTACCACCGAAGATGCTTGTCTTTGTGCTAAGAGTCGTTACAAGGCCAACCTTCAAATATACCAGGATCACAACGCTTATATTAATGTATGCGTTCATCAGAAGAAAATCCATTCTATAGAGATTCTTGACGAAAAGTGCAATGACTAAAACAAATGCTTTTGTGTTTGTGTATGTGTTTTGAATTTTATCATATATATATATTAATATATGATAATGGACAGTAACAAGTTTTTGGTATCACAGTTGATATGATATTTCATTATATATATATATTGTTTTTGATAATGGTTCTGCTAAAACCATTAAATATGTAAATATAAGTTGTTATGTCGTTAAGAACAACTCTTGTGTTTCATATTCTTGTTTTCTCCATCAGGCGTTATGGCCGATGGGAATGACCGATGGAAATTTCCAGTGGATTTAAATAGATGAGGTTATAGGGTTATATTGTCTGTTTCTCCCCATCGGTCACTTTGAGAGCTAGCGTGGCCGGTGAAGCCTCCCGATGGCATTTTCAGTGTATTCCCGAATAATAGTTTGCCTTTAATAAAGCTCTATTTTATCCGTCTATTCGAACTAAAAAAATATAGATAAATCCGATAATTTTACGAATAATAGTGTACCCCAATGGCTACACAACATCCCATACATCTAAACGAACCCAAGTTCGAGAAGCCACGATGAGATTAATAATTCAATTCTTTATCAGTCTATTTGAATTCAATAAATACAAATAAATTTGATAACTTCACAAATAATAGTGTGGCCTAATGGCAAAACTCCGTACTCACCAATGAACCCAAGTTCGAGTAGAGCAATTATGCGGTTAATAATTACTTTTTTTTTATCCGTTTATTCGAACTCAATAAATATAAATAAATCCAACTTTGGTATAGGAGACATAAATCGTCTCAACTTTTTGTAGGGCTCTAGGCAGAAAAAAAAAAATTTGGGCCATTTCAATAGAATTTTTTTTAAGAAAAAATTTAGGCATTTTTTTCTTAAAACTTTAAAAAAAAAAATTGTGGGTCTTGTGCGATAAAATCGTTTGTCATGGCCTTGCCTTTATCGTATAGAATCACTTTACATGAATTAACATCTAATATAGTAATAATTCATGTAGTGCTTTGTTTCTTTACTAACACCTAATATAAAAACGACAACGTTTTGGCAGTTGAAGGTAGGTTAGCTTACCTTGGTTTGAAGGGAAACAAAGATGTCAGGTGGGACAAAATCTGTCATATCTATGACAAGTTTTGCCATCATACCGGACGCGCAATCGCGGTCTCATTTGCCGCTTCGATCATCCTTCTCCTCCTCTCCATCATCTCTATTTTCTCCCTCTACTAGAGAATCCGTTGATTCACTCTTTTCTAGCTTTGTTTGTGATCTACTAAGTTCATTCATTATTATCTTGTTCTTGTTTTTTTCTTTGGTATATGTCGAAGTTTCTTGAAGTGTTGTCATGTTTTCATTAATTGATTTTGTATAAATGTGTGATTAGTTTTATTTGTAATCCGAGGTGTTTAGTGAATCTTTGAATGTTGTTTATGTTTTGTATTCATGATTGTCTTCAAGTTTAACTGTTTCTTCTCTTTTTATCGATTGATGACTAAGTTTTAAACAGTTTTAAACTAAGTCTTAGAGGTGTACTTTCGTTGTATCGCAGGTGCTTTGTAATCTTAGTTAAATGTCTGCTCTATTTCTTATGTAATAAGTTGTGTCAACAACAATGTAAAATCAGAAAAATTGTATAAATCTTAACATTCATGCTAAAAAAAAAGTTTTAAACAATGTCATAAAATGCTTTTTACAGGTTATTTAGAGGACAATACAATAAGAAATTAGAAATTGAAGATGACTATACACTAAAAAAAGAGGTGTGTTACATCATTTAAAAAATATCAAAAACCTAAATGATATAATATTAATTTATTTATTAGTAAATGATACAAACATGTGATTTAACATTAATTGTAGTAATTAATATTGTTTTTTTGACATGTTTAACATCTGTTTAACAATATTGATGCAAATCCATATTAATTTGTATCACTTAAAAAAAATTGACATATAAATATTGATCTACATCCCTTATTTAACCGACGTAATTACCAAATTTGGTTAACATCATTTACGCACTAAAAAAGTGATGCTAACAAACTTTTTTAAAATTGATTGCTTACTTTTGTAAGTCCCACATCGATAATTAAATGTAAGGGTAAGAATAGTCTTATAAATAACTAAACTCCCTCAATTATATACTGTTGTCAAAGTTCAATATTGAATTTGATTTTTGGTAGTTCAATATCGCCTTAAGTAAAAAATTCACTCTTTTAAAAATCTAATTTTAAAATAATTTATATAAGTTAAGATTAGTTTTAAATTATAATCCAATCATGATATTTTCGAACCGTAGTAAATATTTACATCAATTATACTAATTGATGTAAATTTTAATATCACTTTTTGGCAATTGATACATGTTAACATCGACTGTTATACCCAAAACAAATATTTAATATTATTTATACAAACTGATGTAAATTTTAGTTTTATTTTTTATATGTGACACATATTCACATTGGTCTTTTTAATTAATACAAAATATTAGAGTCACCATTTTCAAAGTCACTCATAGAAATGATGTAATTTTAACTGTCAATAAAAAATGATATAATCTAATAAAATAAATGATACAATCCACTTTTTTTTGTAGTGGTATAACAAAAAATAAGCATACACGTGATTATGATTAGCAACAGTTTAATGGTTAAGGCCTTGATTGGCAAAACATTTAAATAAACACCATACTCTTTATCATTAAAACTTGAATGGTAGATAAAACATTAAGCAAAACGTTTAGTAACTGCTAATGTTCTCTAAATGTTCTTCCCCTCAATGTTCCTCTATTAATAGAGTCTTAGAATGAGTTGTCATGTTGGTCTCTAAATCAGTAACCGACAATTTTTAATGGTAAAATCATATAACCAATTCCATGTGGCAGTCAAAACTGAATTAAGTTTTAAATTCATTTAAAAATCCAGTAAATTAGCTATATGACGATTTTACTCATCCTAAGATTAGATGATAAGAATATAGATTACCACCTTATTATGAAAGAAAACTAAATGAACCGCTTTTTGGTTTTGCGGTTAGCAACCCAGCTATGTTTTTATTACAGCCTCGAGTTGCTTAAAAATTATATTATTAAAAGATGGTACATAATTTTTTCATTAATAAACCATTTCAATCAATCTTTAAAACAAAGCATATGATTTGATTAATGACCTCCAAAATAGATGATTTTCAAGTTTTCAACTACAGCTGTTAAAAAATATACATTTCGTTCAAATGTTTAAAGTTGGGATTTAGACGAAAAATTAGTTGTTGACCATTGACCCTTGGTATCACAGCCTGACCACAGATCCATATATTAAGACTATCCAATAGATTCGAATATGAACTCAATTTATTAATTATGTACATATCTTTGAGTCTACATGTCAACGACGGAAAATCAGCTAGAAATTTGCTAAATTATGACACATTAAAATATAAAATGTCTCGATACATTTTTAACTCTATAAAAATGTCCCATTAGAATTTAATTTCAATTAATCCCAATTTTTACCTTGATTTATATTGATAAAGGATTTTTATTTTCGAAACTCTCAAAGTTCGGACGCATGGAGTCACAGCTCCACTTTGCTATGTCTGGTCTTCTTGATCAGTCTTCGTCTCATCACATTACCACACTTGAAGACTTCAACGACCGGTCTATGCTTCATATCTCCATCCGGTCTTTCATGCTGTCGAGGTAAGTCGTGATATGTTTTGGTTTTCATAGAATTCAAACAAAAATCGCAGGCCAACACTTAATTCCGTATTTGATATTTATAGTACCGCAATGAACAATTAATCATCATCAGCTTAACTAGTTACAATCCCTATCAATGATTATCTGCGCGTGAGTTCGAAGTCATGTTGTTACACTTTTTTGCAACTTCTTAAAATTAAAAAAAACGTCTGTGCTTTGTGTATTTGATATTTATATTAGAACAAAAAATAATAAATTATCCTCAGCTTTATTGGTTATACTCCCTATATACTGCCTATCAATAAATTTTTTAAATAACTCATTGATATTTTTTTGCATTTGTTTTGATATTTATATTTGTAATCTTTTTGAATTTTTTTTGTTTAAGAAGAAAAACAAATAACTTAGTCAATAAAATAAAAAAGAAACAAAATTTTGAAGAAAAAAATTTAAAAAATATCTTTTAAAAACTCATTTTAGGGAAAACAAATATTCACTCCTAGATTTAAGGAATTTGTAACTACTTTTTCTGAAACTACATTCTACGAATCGGTAGATGGTAGATAAAGTGGTAGACGTTACGGTAGAAACTATATTTAGGATACGGTATAATATAATGAGAACAGTAGAAAGTACTATCTGGGTTTGGTAGATGTCAGTCTAAGTCGTGGAACTAATATTCTACGATAATGTAGAACGTAGAGCATGACGTAGAACCAAAATGCTACGCTCGGTAGATATAGGTAAAATAGGAAGAATCTTAAATCTACCGAATTGTGGCAGCCGTAGAAGGAAACACTAGAATTATTTTTCAACATGATTTTTCGCTTTAAAAAAAAATTTATATACAAATGACTGCGAGATTAGCGGGGATCATGCAGAACAACGACGACCACATCATATCTCAGGGATTGAAAACAATGATATACATCAATTCCCCTCTCATGGCAGAGGCACTGGCAACTGGGGAAGCTCTGCTTCACGCAAAAGGATCTGGAATTTGTCGATTCCGAGTGGCTTCGGATGCGAAAAATCTGATCCATCTGATCAACTAGATTATGAGAGGGGAATCAAAGCACAAAATAAAATTGTTATACAATTTTATCACATTAAATAAATTTA